AAACTCCTTTCGTTCTTTTTGTCTGATTCACAATCTCCCCACCCCCACCCCTGTTCTTTTCCCCCCTCTTCAGGCAGTTCTTTATTTGACTAAAAGTTATATGAGAAAATTGGAGGGAAAAATGCGTAGCAGCGATCGTATCTTTAAATGATCTGATTGTGCTTTGAAAACACAGCACTGAAGCACTTGGTGTGTTTGTTTTTGAATCTGTTTCTTCTACCCTCCCTCTATTCCTCAATTTATTCTTTTGTAAATATAGTTCAAGAGATATCCATGGGACATGTTTTTCTAGGTAAATAAGATTAGGAATACAGCTTTCATTCTTATTACACACTGGATATGCAATATACATTTGAATTTGAATATACAATTAATTTGGATTCAGGAATAGAACTTGCTCATTTATGACTGTAAGATTTACTGTACTGTGTGCGCCCTCTACTGGAGAAATGACAACAGGCAGCAAAAGTGCATCTTTATGGCTCAGTTCTAAGCCATAAAGTATCTGTCTCACCTTCTGGAAATTAATCCTAATGCTTTTTGTTTTCAGAAGCAGAAGTATGCAACGGTTATCCAGTGTGACTCATGTTGTTCGTGTTTATTCTCATCAGCTGTTTTATAATAATTGAATATCTCACTGTCACTTTGCCTAACCCCAGATTGTGTGTGTGCAGGTATGACAACAATCCGTTGATTAGACAAACTATAGAAAATTGCAGCCACACCAGAGGCAGTTAGATGTTTACTTTCCTTAGATATTGAATTATAACATCCACCTCATTGCAATTCTATAGCTCCATATAATGAGTTTATTATGGTTTTATCTTAATTTAATATTTTATCTCATATAATGTATTGTCCACATATTATACACACGGACACGGAATGTATGTATGTATCTGAAAGTCAGAATTTCCCCAAGACATGACCTCCCTCCACATTCCACATAGGGCTGGACTCTTACACTAAGTCACTGTGCAGTTTGACTTAGGCTTAAGCATGTCTAAAACTTAAATCCTGGTCTGCAGACTATAGATTCTAGTTTAGGGCATTGTGTGAGCCATGGCTTAGCAAATCATGTCTTTTTGGAATGTCATGCTAGTCACTGTGTGACTCAGGGTGACTAGTGATGACTAGGGGATGAAAGTTATAGTTCCCCAGTCTATAGGCGCATCCCATGATTTATTCCTTATTTCAACCATGCCTGTGTTCATACCACATGCCAAACACTATACTGAGTCATTAAGCCAAGAGTTTGATGATCAGGAACTATTCTTAATGTTTTTTTTCCAGTGGCTGGAGAATTTATAACTAAGACACCTTTTATATTTTAGTTCTGTATTTATAAGCTATGACAGCCTTGGTGAATTACATGATAATTTCAAACATCAGCCACGTATATGTCCATAAATATTACCTACTGACCAGGTTTTTGCCTAAGTTACAGAAAAGCTTCCTATGCCTTTGCTCCTTCCATGGCCTTTGCTGCAAGCATAGAAGGCACACACAAATGCCACGGTTTCGCGTGAGCTTCCTAGGCTTTGAAAAGCAAAGCAGGGTTCGATGTGGTTATCATTTGGCTGGGAAATGTCAAGGAAATTTCAGAGCTGGAGGTAAGACTGGGAAGCAAAATAAAATCATGGAAGTATTGCTGCCAAGAAAACTATAAGGTCATGAAGATTTCAGGAGTTGAACTGGCATCAAAGCAGACCCAGTTCTACTTTCTGCTGGCAAGAGAGGACAGCCTTTCCTCCAGGCAAAGTTTCTTACAAAACAGCCTCTTAAGGAATTCAAAAGCTGAAATGTCCTTTGATAGCTTTTAGATTGCCCTCATCAATCTGGCTTAACGGGGGATTTTCATTCAGCCTTTGATATGCCCTCCCCAGGGATCCCTTCCTCTTGTTCTGAGGCATGGAAAACTCCTGGGGGTTCTCCCAAAATGGAGGAAGGAATTGCTTTTGGGGCCCTTTGGCAGATTCTTTGCATCTGAAGAGCTGAAAATGGTCGGCCTCCTTTTGGCAATTGATTCCTTTGTCTTGCTTTATTTCACCAAAGCAGGACAGAAATCCTGCTCTGACAGCAGAAAGGCTATCCCTTTCTTAGGCAGATTATTGATTGATGCTGCAAGAAATAAGGCCAGTGTCCAAAATGTGTGAGTGAAGCTGCCACTTAATCCAGCTTAATCTAATGTAATCAAAGAGGTTGGGGTCACATTAAAGAATGCTTGCTTAACCATGGTTCATGAAATAAATCACAAATGGCCAGATGCACACAGGCTAAGCCAAAAACCTGTTTTGCAATACACTGTGGCTGAGTTCACAAAATATTAAAACAAATTACAAGACTATCAGGTAAAGACTTAACAAATGCATTCACATAATATTGCTAAACTAACCTTTGCTAGTTTCTGGTGAATGACCATATTATGTGAAGGCTGCTTTGCCACCTTTCTGACTACGCAAGTTGATTGATTATTCCATGTACTGTACAAATTAAGTTAATTCTGCAATCAGATATACTGTGCAAATGCAGCTTATGATTTAACCCCCCCAAGTCAAATATACCATATGAATGCCCTCCCCCTCATGTAATTGGATATTAATTTCTCCATCAACTCCAACCACCATGGCTGAGGATAGAGAAATAATGCAGATTACCATGAAAAATGTAGAAGGCCACATATTGCCTCATATTGTTCATCAGCCTTCTCCAATCTGACTTCACTCTGGTAAGGACTTTGGGTGTTGCAGGCCCAACATTTTATAAAAAGTGCCACATTAGGAAAATCTGCAGCTTCCAACTCTGAGAATATGTTCAGCTGCTGTTTGGCCCCCTGGTTACCTTCCTGTCTTGTCCCTTTCTAATGAACGGCTATTCTGGTTTCGACATTTCACTGCCCCAGGATTTAACAACTGCTTGCCGCCATTCATTTCTGCAATCTAACACTTGCACCGCAGCTGGAGTCTGGCATTTGGCAAATCCCAGGACTGAGCACATGATGATACCCTGAGGCTAAAGTCACTTTTTTTACTTTCCACATGGCTTTTTTTTAAAGCTTTGGCTTTGTTGTTGTTAGTTTTTAACTGCTTAACATTCTAAAAACCTACAAAGGGTCAGATCTCTCCCTCCCAGGATGGATTGCAGTTGGCACAGTAATGGAAAGAAAATAGGCAGGCTCAAATACCAGCTCTGGCAGCTTGAGAGTCGGATCATGGCCTGCTGAAATAGGTTCTGATAGAAGTTGGGGAGGGAAGGGGGATGTATTTGAAGGCACAAAGCTTGTTAGCACATGGTTTAAACACGGATGGCTTGACAAGGTACAACTGGCAGGATTTGTACAAGCCAAGTCATAAATCATTGCTTAGAAACCACAAGGGTTGAGTTCATACAACACGCACATCCAAACCAAGCTATAGGTCTGTGGCTGAAATCATGATGCATAAGGCTTTCAAATTTACCCTAAAATCTATCTTAAAACAGTTTTCCATACTTGGGAGTCGAAAGGAAAAGTAGAAGGGGAGGGAGTTTTCCCCCTCCTCTTTTTCATCCTAATGGAACAAAATATGCTTCTTTAAATATGCCAGAGAAATTATATATTTAAAAGTTTAAATTCAAACAGGAATGGTGCTTTCATATACAATGTATCCCCTAATGAGGGATACTTGTACAATAAGGTTTCTAGGATGTAAATAGAAAGTAACAATTACTAATGTTTAGTGAAAGATCAAATACTGTATCTAAATTGTGACTGTGGTTGGAGTATCACTAAAAGGTACTATTTATCTTTTACAATGTTTTTAATGCAAATGTAGCAGTGTTTGGGAGTATCACTTTGCATTTTTCCTACTGTACCTCCTTTGCATTTCAATATTTTAACAATAAACATGGATTATTATTTTTAAAAAAGTAACTACTTCCATCAGGCCAATTCAAAACCACAGATTCCAAGCTTGTGACCTGGCTAAAATTTTCCACCCAGCAACCCTGTAAAGAGGCCAGAAAGATGGAAGGAGGGGGAGGGTGCCTAAGGGCCGGTTCCCAGACCTGACACAATTCTGTGCTCAATGTGGGAAGAGGCTGCAGTCACTCAGATCCTGCTTCACCGGCGTGCCGAGACGGTTCGGGCTGCAGCTCCCAGGGAGCCCTGCAGCTCCCTGAACGATGAAACAGGCCGCAGGAAAAGTGACCTTCCCCCTTTGCAAAAATAGCTGCAGCTTCGGGCTGCGACGTTATGCAAGTCCCCGTTACTTGCGGAGTAAGCCCGCCTGGAAGCAACGGGCCTTGCTTCTGAGTAATATCTGAGATGGAGGCCGGCACCATCAAAGGAGCCGTTCGAAGCCGAAGGGGCTTCTCAGGTCATCCCTTGCCGCAGGGCAGCCCTCTGCTCTAATCAGGCCCATCAGCAGAAAACGGCCAGGATTGAGGCTTTGGGGGGGGGTAGGGAGGGGGTCGCACGTGGCTCGCAGGTGCTTCCCTGCCCCGGCTCAGCACGCCCCGCATTCATCTGGAAACGCCGGATGATTCCAGGGCGTTTAACAGGCGAATCTCTTTCGCCAGGCCCGCCGGCCCTTCGCGTGGCTTCCAGGCTCATTGATGAATTCAGCCTCGGGGCCTCCGGTGGTATTGCCCACAACCGGCCCAGACCCCCCCCCCGCCCGGCCCCGCGCTTATTCCGGGTCTGCTCTCCATCGGTCCCGCTCGCGGTCTTTCCGAAGCCTCCAGGCAGGGACGCTGCCCGGCGAGGCTCCTCTTTCAGTCCTGACCTGGGACTCCATTCCCCTTAGTTCGCCCCCTCGGCTGGCTGTGCATGATGGGGGCGGCCCCCATGCAGAGAAGCAGCGGGTGCGGGAGGGGGCTCATTCCGAGGCGGTTGCAGGGCTGGTGGGGCGACGAGGCTCTGATCCCTCCGCTCCAGGAGGCAAGCAAAGAGTCCGGAGGCCCCGCCCCGCGCGGGGTACGCAACCGAGATTGGAAGGGGCGGGGCGACGGGCGGCGGAGGGGTTCGCGGGGGCGGAGCGGCGAGGCGGCCCTGAATCACCTTGAGGCTGCGCTCCGCCAGCCGCCGCTCAGAGAGGTGGAGACTCTCCGCGGGAATTGACCTTTGGAAGCCGGGTAGGTGAGGAGGGGGGGGCAGGGCGGGCAAGGACCGGTCGCGGATCAGCCGGGCGCTTTGCTGCCGCCGCTGCTGCTGCAGCCTCTCGCATCCCCCGAGCGCCGGCTCCGTCCGACTACCGCCCCTATCATCCCCTGCCGGGAGCGCGGCTTTGCAACTGCGCAGGAGGAATTGCAACTGCGCGTGTTGGGGGGGGGGGGGGGAGCAAAGGAAGAAAGGCGCGAGGTGCCGGGGGTGGGGGGAGCAAGTGAGATGCTGCCAATTATCCATCTCAATTGCATCCGATCTTTTCCATCAGGGGATCCCAGGGGCCCCTCCGCCCATTTTTCGGCCGCAGCACGTGCGGTTGGGTCCCCCCCCTTTTTTTTTTGCCCGTGCAAGAAAGGCTGGAATTCAGCAACCCGAATAGATAGGTAGCAATACAGCACCACCTCTTAAAAACCGGGAGAGCGGGAAGCGGCTGGCCTCTTTTCCGTTCCCCGAGGGAGCTGCGTGTCCCGGGCGTGGGCCCGCCCGAGCGCTGGCGGGGAAGGAGCGGCTTGGCACGCGGCCCTTTGTCCCGGGCAACCGCCTCCCCAGCCCCGGAAACGAGGACGGTCCCAGCGCGCCTGCGCCGCTTGGGAAGCGCGCGGTGCCGGCCCAGCGCGTGCTCGGCCTGGCCTTGCCTGGAAGCCCAAAAAGAAGGTCCCGATTGGAGCCTGGCGGATTCTCGCCCGGCGGGATTGCAACTCCCGGCCCCCAGGATGCTGGAGAGTAGCCGGGTCCCACCCCGCAGGCTGGAGAAGGCCGGCGCGGATACAGGGAGGGGGGGGAAGGGACCGATGGGATGCTCTCCTGGTCCCCTTCCTTTTCCTCCTCCCTCCATCTCGTCCCAGGCTCTCCATTAGCTGTGTTTCCCTCAAAGGCAAGTGGGGAGGAGGTTGTGGGAACGCCTTTCCCCCCGTTTCCCAAAAGCGGTGCCCAAGGCCAGAAATCTGGCTGCACCGAGAAGCCTCGGATTGGCCTGGCTGCCATTTCCAGGAGCTCCTGGGTCTCTGCCACGAGGAGGGGAGATGGGGCAGGGGAGATCGGGTTGCACGTTGCCTCCTCTGACCTGCCTTTCCTCCCCCCTGAAAGGATCTGGAGAGGCAGTACCCGGTCATAAATCAAGGCCGACGGGGTCTTTATATATCTCTCTCCCTGCCCTGTTTTTCATCTACTGCAAGTCTTGCGAAAGGCCATAAAGCAGGCATAGATTTCACAACCTCGTTCTGTGTTCAAGGCCCCCCTTTTGCAAATTATTTAGGCCCCCCCCCAATTTCCTTCATACCTTTGTGAAGGTGAGCGGACTCTCCTTCAGACAACGCCATTTGAACATGATGTGGCATTTCCTGGCATGGACCTTCCTTCCTGTCTCATACTGCCAGTTGCAGGACAAAAAGAGTGTAATGAAAGAATGGAACCACTTTCACTAATATTTGCATCTTTCCTTTCTGTTGTAAAATATTTAAATTGTCAGCCTGTAATTTCTGAGCTGGAAGTCAATTCCCCTTATATATTGGGGTGGGGGGGTTGGATGCTGCAACCTCAGGGCAATATTTTTCAAAGGAACGAAAGACCAGGTCAAAGTGTAACCACATATTAGCTTACAATTACTTAGTAGCAGCAAAGCAGGTTTCTTTAGTATGGTGCCTTCAAGGCTCCCTTCGAATGCAGGCCATGGCGGTTGAGGATTAGTGAAATTGTAGTCTAATGTCATCCAGGGTACCAGCTTAAGGTAGGTAGTGCACAAAAACTGCCCTAGGGATATACATCTATCCTAATAAAATAGGAAATTGCTACCTTCCTTTGTCAGAAGTAAAGTTGGATTCTCCAGGTTCATTTTGCTATTGTTTATTCTGCCAGCTACATTCCAGAATCTTTCCTGATGCTGCACAAGTGGGTCTTCACAACAATTTGCCTGTTGTGCTTTCCCGCCCTCACCTCCCAGGGCAAAAGGCACAAAACTTAAGCACAGAGGCTTCTTCCATGTGCAAAACCTCAGCTAATTTAAAGGTACCCAGCCCGATTATATCTCAGTTAAATAGCATTCATCCTTTTTAACGGCCACATGCTAAGAATCTAGGCAGAGAACCTGGGGTGATAGGAAGATGCTTCATCACACCAGATGGATCTTCCTGCCCCTGCAAAGTACTTGGTGTGCTGTTCAGAAGCCACAGCTTTCCAAATTTTCACCAGAGATCAGATTCTCCCCCCCCCCATTTCTCAAGTCCTCCCAATGTGAGCACTAATGCAGGCAGATGGTAGAAATGTGATGCAATGCTCCTTACTCAGAAGGAGGAAATGACTGTGCAGAATGGTTGAGTAGAACAGTTTTTACAAGTAAATCTTTCCTGTTGCATCTTTATGTTGATACTACCAGTTACCATAAAATAGCATGGGAATTGCTGCCAATTAAAGTGCTATATAAGCTTTCTAGACTCATCTTCGGCTGCATTAATATGGGGTATATATATATATTTGGCAAATGTGAGAACAGCCACATCTGAGGAAAGCTTCCTCTGCCAACTTCTGGCAAGCATGCTTTAACCCCGCCCACCCCTCTTTCCCAGGCTTGTACCCTACCCTCACGCTAAGTGAATTTGGGGAGACAATAAAAAGATTTTCATAGTAATAGTCCATTGTTATTGATCAAAGGTTCTGGGAGTGCCAATTTAAGCAACATAAATTCAGATGAAGGCCAATGCTGCATGCTGTAGCTTTTTAATGGAACGCTGGGGTCAGTGCCTTGCTGAATCAATCAGTAATAAATATAAAAACAAGAAAAGCACAGTTGCCTGCCTCAGATGTGTTCAAAACCTGAGTTTTTGTTGGTGCTCCTGGCTTAAAGCAGATTGGTGTGAAAACTGGTGCATAGGATGGAAATAAGATGTAATAGCAACTGGCTGCCTGCCGGTTTAGCTGTTGGGCGCAGTAAAGCTCTCAGACACATGATGCAGCCAACATTCAGGCTTCCTAAATTTAGCCAGAGCTTGTTCTGTTCTGCTTGGTATCCTCTGTTCCATTTGGCTTTCAGAGGTAATGGTTTTATTTATTTATTTTTAAAGAAAAAGTAAAATGGTACAGACAGCTAAAAATTGATCACTTCAAATCTTAGGGCCTACAGGCATGATACTTGAGAAAACTCATGCATTTTCAAATTTGGAGCCACCCAATTCCTTTGTGCAGAAGATCATACGGGATTGGAATGTTAACAAACATGTTTTATAGCATTGCAGCATTTAGTGTTCCTTATCTAATTTAGATTTCAGTAATAACTCATAAAGTATGATTTTGAAGATTGTCACACAATTCCTGCTTTAACAGTTCACATATTTTGGCCTCTCGGGTTAAGGCTTGCATTGTGGCCTCACAAGATTAAATCGGCTTTCTGCAAAGGGGTATTCTCTCTGCCCCTCCCCCATTAAAAAGCAGGGTGCAGATGCTTGAATCACCACCTGTAACATTTGTCAACTTGTAGTAGCAACTGTGGATATTTCTTACATACTCCTACTTCCAAAATTGATTGGACCATGTTAAAAGTACACTTACATTACAGATTGCAGGGAAAGAAAATAAATTAAATCTGTTTGCTGCTCACTCCTCAAATTTGTGCAAAACTGACAGTCATTAACAATTTTAAGAATTGCAAGCATCCAAACGCCTCAATTGCAACAAAAATTGACCTGTATCTTTCCTACTAAAGCTTCAGGGTATTTGTGTAAATCTTCCTTCTCAGATTATATCAGAGAGCATAAGTAAAACCACCCTTAAAAACTGTCTTGACTACAAAGCTTCACCTGTAATCTCCAGCATATGTCTTTCTCATCCCCCAAAGGTGGAATTGATTGAGCTCAGAGGCATATCAGTTATGAACAGCTAACACCTGTGACTTTGCAAATAGTTGGAACAAGCAGAAAATATTTTATGCTGCGGCAGAATTGCTGCCTCCTTAGGAATCCAGCTGCATGTACTGTACCAGGAAGGGCCTCACGTGCTTCTCTGCTGAATTAAAAAAGATTCTCCATTGTGGTACTTAACTGAAAGCAAGCAGCATCTTCCATGACATTAAAGAGCTAGCTTTGACTAAGGCCTCTGGGGAGACAGGGCCTCTTACTTGAAAGCCATGCGCACGGGGAAAGTTGCACGTAGCATAGGGCGGAGCATGTTATGGGCTCCGGAGCTGAAATCCGAGTCAGTCTAAAGCCCTGGAATAACAGAGCAGTCAGAAGGTTGGGTTCAGAAGCAAGGGCAGCTTTTCATGGCAGCTTGTGGAGGAACCCTCTGTAAAACTCTGAAATCGTTATTAAGGGATGGCTGTTCTTTTAGGTGCTTAAGCTCTCCCCAAAGTGAAATTGGCTGGCTTAATTCTTAAAACGTGTCTTTTATTTTTCTCATTTTGGTCTTCGAATGGCAAGGCTGAATTGTGATATCTTGACTGTGAACCAAAATGCCCTTTTATGCTTGAGCATGTTTGGCCTGTGAGGTGTATAGAGTTAGGCTTAAACTAAACTTAAAATAGCTTTTATTCATGGACATTACACATTAATTATTAGATTTATAGCCTGCCTTTATTTTGTACAATTTGATATGGCCCTTATTTGAGGTTAAATATATAGTCTGGCCCTTATGATCTTTCCTAGCATAAAATTCTCCCAGAATTTAGCAATGTGTCCTTTGAGTTCTCCAACCTTTTGTTTGCAAGAATTTGTAGCTACTGATGGCCATGCCAATGGGAATTTCAAGAGTTCTAGGCATAATATTTGCATAGGCCTTTGAAAATACACTTAGGTGCTGCAATGCTGCCTTGGAAGTGATTCAGTTTGAATTTTTGCCCTGCATTCAGCATAATTTTTGCCCTGGGTCTGAGGCTACACCCAGGTGCTCTCCATCATCCCCTAGTCCTGTCTGGGCTTGGATCTGGATTGGTGCAGCATGGTGCCTGGGCTGTTATGTGGAATTACAGTTCGGAGGAATAACTTCATTTATGGTTTCCCCCCCTCAGTTGGGTTATGCTAAATTTGTTCCGTTCTTCTGAGCAAGAACGGAAGAAGATAAATAATAGGAAACAAGTGTATGATGAATTGGGGAGGCATCTGTTACTTCTTTAGATTTCATAAAATGTTTTATCCTTTTTATATATATATTTTTTCCTTTAACATCTATAAGTGCTTAGTGAACAGTATATTATCTGGGTCAATATGTTTTGCATACAATTCTGATAGTGATATTACCGATTAAATATACATAATCATACTTTTTCAACTTCTAACATTTGTGTATACCTAGTAATCATAACATGTTCTATTACATTTCAATATACATGATATTATTTTCCCAATTTCTACTGCCTGCTTCTTTTTCCTAGCCCTTATTAAAATAACCACCATGTTAAAAAGTATTAAAATGTTTTATCCTTGGAATTGCTGTTGCGAGGACAAAATGGAACCCCCAGGATCCAAAAAAGACATTCAATGCTCAGACCACTCTTGTTTCAGGTTGAAAACTCCTTCTAAATGAAACGGCCCTCTCTCACACCCTCCAAGTGGAGTATTTCTGAGAATTTTTGTGCATGGAATATTTAGAAATCGAACATTTGGTGGCGCCGGCTCTTGGATGTTGAATTCAGTACTGTAACTTTTGTGTTCTTGCTTTAGATATCAACTCTCAGCCACCATGTCTACCAGTGACGCTTTCATCCAGACCCAACAGCTCTATGCTGCCATGGCAGACACTTTCTTGGAACACATGTGCCGACTGGACATTGATTCCCCGCCAATCACCGCAAGAAACACTGGCATTATCTGCACTATCGGTACGTTAGGGTTGAGCCCCCAAATTGGGGTTGTCTTGGGACACCCCCTTGTGTGTTAGCTTGGTTCATATGTCGAAAGTCCATCTAGCTAAGAGACTTCTTATTCAAATCTCATCTCTAGAATTATCTTCACATTAATCCAATTGACAGGCCTCTTCAGGAAGATTGACACGCTGAATGTTACCATTTAATAGAATAACAGAGTTGGAAGGGGGCTTGGAGATCTTCTGGTCCAACCCCCTGCACAAAGGGGTATTCAGCAGGTTCTGACCAGTTCTGGAGAACCGGTAGCGGAAATTTTGAGTAGTTGAGCAAATGCCACCTCTGACTGGCCTCACCCCCATCTCTTCTCTGCCTCCCGAGTCCCAGCTGATTGGCTGGGTCTCCTTTGGTTGCCCTGCACAGGAGAACAGAGCTGGAAAGCAGGCTAGTGGGGGGGATTTTGCACTATCCTTCAGTGGTGGGATTCAAAAATTTTTACTACCAGTTCTGTGGGCGTGGCTTGGTGGACGTGGCAGGGGAAGGTTATTGGAAAATTCCCCTTCCCTCCCCACCCCACTAACCTGCTTTCCAGTTCCGTTCTCCTGTGCAGGGCAACAAAAGAAGACCTCACTTTCATTCATGAGGCCCTCTGACCATTTCGGACAATGTAATTTCATGTAATTTATTTAAAATAAGGAAACCAGAGTAAAGTAAAGAAAGTTGAGTTAGAAACTTGTAGAGGAAGTGTATGATCTTAGCTTGATAAGGAGCTGAGGATGTGAGGATTTTAAAACTGGATCTCTGGTTCACAAAAAGTTTTGCCTCTTGTTATTTTAGGTCCGGCTTCTCGGTCAGTAGAAATGCTGAAAGAAATGATTAAATCTGGAATGAACGTTGCCCGTCTCAACTTCTCTCACGGAACTCACGAGGTACAAGGGGAAAAAAAATCAGAAGAAAAACGGGAGAAATTGATGGGAATGGAAAGAGCTGCTTTCTGACATACTAGTGAAAACGGCAGTAATAAATAGAGGATTCTTATTCAGTAACCCCGAATCCAGTAACCCAGATCAATCTTGGCCTCCAGATTTAGGGTTGTAATTTCAGGTGTCTTGCTTGATGAAGCAATACCCAACTTCATAAAATAATTCTTAAACAAATGGAGATGGTGAAGTTCTTTGCCACAGATGCATGGCTGTCCCTTTTCTGGTAAACTGAGTTTGGATTATTCCTTAAGGTTAAGGTCCCTGGCTGCCTTCTACTTAGTTGACTTAAATGGTCTTCCCTCTAGAGGTCAGTGGGGATTGGATTACTTCCTAGTTTCAAATGGCAGCGGAGCTCAAATGCCTGGGTTAAACAAAACAGAATTACGAAATGTGAAATGGGCAGGGCCTGAAGAAATATCGTGTAACAAACCCCTGGCCATCTTAAAATAGAGAGCACTCGCCGGCAAGTTCTGTGCAACTTCTGTACACCTAGAACATATCAGAAGGTCAAAAAACCCAAACCCTCCATCTTCCTTTAATGCTGAAAGAAAGTTCAGCTATTACTCCGCCCCGTTACTAGATCCTGCTGTATGCCTTCGACAAGATCTTGCAACTACTTGATTTAGTTGCCCCTCCAGATCGAAGGTGGTTGAAACAAATCTTCCCTTCCGCCTGGTGTTTGAAAGCTAAAGGAGATTTTGCTGAGTATGTTAACTGTGCCGGGGACAAGGTGGTGTAACATGTTAAAGGATCCAAGTAATTCCTGGAATGGAAGGTTTCCAATCTGATAAGGTAGCGCATCTGTTTCCAGAATAAATCAGACCTGCCTTAGAGGTCAGCTCTGCACATTAAGGTTACAAGAATTGTGCTACTTCGCAGGAGAAGAGGACAATCCCATTTCTATAAATAGAGCAGCCTTGTCAGCATGGTTAGAAGACACTTCCCCCATCTACATCTTTCCTTAAAGGCCAGCAGGCTGCTGTTCGCTTCCAAAAGGTCAAACTACAGACTGAACCATCTTACTAGCAAGAGTTTCAGTTTAGCGCACAAAATGCTATGCATCTACCTTTTTTAAAAACAAAAAAGAACTCCCCCCCCTTCTTAAAGCTTGATCTTAAATTAATATTTATCCCCCATCCCCTCCCACTTGTGACTGTATGACTGTAATTTTGTCGCTTGTATCCTTAGGATTTATATGGACTTGTTTCCTAGTATGATTTGATTGCTTATTGCACCCTATGACTATCATTAAGTGTTGTACCTTATTCTTGACGAATGCATCTTTTCTTTTATGTACACTGAGAGCATTTGCAGCAAGACAAATTCCTTGTGTGTCCAATCTCACTTGGCCAATAAAGAATTTTACCATCTGTCTATCTGTCTGTCTAATAGATTTTTAAGCATTGTATGTACTTGCAGACGAGCTGAGAATTTTAGGTGCCACAATACCCCTCAAAAATTGGTTTCAACGTAACCACGGATGAACTTATCCACACACATATATGGTAATAAAAGTCCTCATATATACTTGCAGAAAAGCCTATTGGTATATGCTGACCCCTGAATTTTTAATTAGAATACCATTAGGCAATTGTAAAAACATAATAAAACGTGTCTGTTCAAGCCGACTCTTAACTGCAGTTTGGTATATTTTTCATGATATTTTGGTTGAACAGTCAGCTTACCCACGGAATGGGCTTCTCTTCAACTATAAGTATATACAATAGTTACCAAATTAAAATAATTACTGATTAATTAATTCCCTTCTTCAAAATCTTCCTTAACTGACTTTAGCAGAGTGTTGGTGTTCCAATAGTGAAGTGAAACAGTTCTCTGGCTTGTTAAGATGGGATCTTGGCTTGATTTTTAACCCTGAGTTATACCCAAGGGTTTGTCAGTAAGTTCAGAGATATGCATAAACCAATTGTCCCATCTGAACTGAACTGAATTCTTTCTTGGCCAAGTGTGATTGGACACACAAGGAATTTGTCTTGGCGCATATGCTCTCAATGTACATAAAAGAAAAGATACATTTGCCAAGAGTCAAGAATCATCAGGTACAACACTTAATCACAGGGTACAGTAAGTGATCAAATCATACTAAGAAACAGTCAATAAAAATTTAAGGATACAAGTTGCATTCGTACAGTCACAAGTGGGAGGGGATGGGTGATAAGGAGTGATGAGAAGATTAATAGTAGTAGTGCAGACTTTGCAAATAGTTGGACAGTGTTGAGGGAATTATTTAGCAGAGTGATGGCATTCAGGAAAAAAACCTGAAAAAAACCCCCTAGATATGGATTTAATAAATGTTGTTTAGCAAATTAAGCAGTGAGATTAAACTAACCAGACAGTTACTCTTATCACTTTATGCTTACATGTTCCTCTCTTTTTAGTATCATGCAGGAACAATCAAGAATGTAAGAGAAGCTACCGAAAGCTTTGCTTCTGATCCAATTTCCTACAGACCCGTCGCCGTTGCCCTGGATACGAAGGGGCCTGAGATTCGAACTGGGCTCATCAAGGGGGTAGGTGGATTTCTGTCTTTGCGATGATGCGGTTATTGCAGGACGACTGTTTATTCTACCTTGCAACCATCTGACAAGCAAAGTCAATGGGGAAACCAGACTTCACAAGTTACTAACTGAACACAGCGATTCACCTGTAGCAAGAAAGGTCGTAAAATGGGGAAAACTCACTTAGCAACAGCAATATTGGGCTCAATTGTGGTTGTAAGTTGAGAGACTGCCCTATACCAGTGATGGTGAACCTTTTCGGCACTGAGTGCCCAAATCGGAATGCACAGGTTGTCAGCTATGGGATCGTGATAGTTCAAGGTTAAAGCATGTGGCGTAGAAAGAAATGGAATTTACTTTGTGGATTGGTTCATGTGATGTGATGATAAAAAAAGGGGGGGATGGTTTGTAGGTTGGAATAGTTTTGGAATTCCACAGAGGTGCCAAGTTTCTATTCTAATAAAAGTACTTCGAGATTATGGTTGTCTTGGAATTACTAGCTGGAATGGATAATCTTTGGAACGCTGACACACACACGTGGGCCGGAGTGCCCGTCAGGTGAGGCTCCATTCAAAATCCAAGAAAGAAAACCTTAGACTCCATT